CGAGACGGGTAACGCCGGGGAGAGCCTACGCACCGCACCGCAAGTCTCGCAACTAGCGCCTAACGCGAACCGCGCTGGGGCAGACGTTGCCGGAGCACGCGTCGCCTTGGCAGTGACTACGCAGCCGCCGAGCGGAGCGGACGAACGCGCAGCACACCCAATGGACACAGCGGCGACTACTGGAATAACGACATCTGCGATGACGTCATCGGTGCAACCGGCGAGGAGAGTGCACGTCGCGCGTTCGACCCGCTCGGCAGCGAGCAACGCGGCACGCCGGAAGCTACGCATCGAAGCAGAAGAACGACTGGCTGCCATAAGACGCCGAGAACTCGAAATTGAAGCGGACCTCATAAAAAAGACGCTCAATATCGAGTTAGAAACGCTAGACGGAGCAGAGAGCGAACCCGAAGCTGAAGAACCGGCAAATAAATTGCAAGATCGAGTGTTCGAGTGGCTCGACGACGCGAACGTCGACCAACAACGGGGGGAGCTCTCAAGGACCGCCGTGGCTGAACCGCCACCTGAACGCGACACGCGACGCCCAGATAGGGAAGAACGAAGACGGTCGTCATCGCGAGGCAGAGGCATCGATCAACTCGCCTCTGTCCTCGAAACCCTCGTGAAGTCACGACCGCCGCCGCGTCAAGCATCGGATCTACCGATATTCTCTGGTTCACCGCTGGAATGGCTACAGTTCGCGACTGCGATGCGAGAAACAACGCGGCTGTACGAATTCACACCTACAGAGAATATGGCAAGACTAAGAAACTGCCTACGTGGAGAAGCGCGGGAAAACGTCGCATCATTGTTGAGCACCGCGACGCACCCCGACGAGATCATGCGAACACTGGAGCAATGCTACGGAAGGCCAGAAAGACTAATGGACATGGCTTTCGCCGATCTACGGAAGCTGCCGAAGATTGGACCTACCGCGAACGATCTTAACATGTTTGCGGTGAAGCTACAGAACGTCGTGGCCGTCCTGAGGAACGTGCAGCCAGAGTACCTACTTAACCCACTGCTGACCCGGGAAGTCTTGGACAAGATGCCAAGTTACCTTGTATCGAGTTGGTGCAACTTCGCCGAGTCGCAGCCGGGCCCGAACGCCGATCTACTCAAACTTTCATCGTTCCTGATGAAAGAAGCTGACCGCTGCATGCGATACAACTATGTATCGAACCTCACCGCACCCTCCACATCGCAACGAACACGAGAAACGCCTCGCCCCGCCCCCAGACCGGAGGCTAAGAAGAAGACGGTGTACGTCGCCACCGAAGAAGCACCGCAGCGCAGATGCCTTTCATGCCAGGAAGCCCACACACTACCTAGCTGCCCAAAGTTCAAGCAGCTAACGTATGATGACCGATGGGAGCTGGTGAAGAAGGAGGGGCTTTGCTTCAAATGCATCGTGGGCCGACACCGTCGATTGAACTGCCGTCAGAAACTCTGCGGAATCAATGGATGCAAGCGACCGCATCACCGACTGTTGCACGCAGATGAGCGTGGAACGACGAACGACGTGGCTACGAGCGCGACCGACTCAAACGCGGCCGCAACGGAACCAGCCACCACCGAAACGACGACGGCTGCCACGACGACAAGCCGCGCCGTCAAATTGAAGATTTGCCCCGTGACAATCACGGGCAAACGTGGGAGCTGCGACACCTACGCGCTCTTCGACGAAGGCTCGACGGTCACCTTATTAGACGACGACCTGGCGCGACAGATCGGCGCCGACGGACCGACCGCACAGCTCAACGTCCGAGGAATAAATAAGAAGCAAAGTCACGTGCAGAGCCGTCGAGTGAAGATTGGAATAAAGGGAACGCGCAGTGACCAGATCTTCAAAATCAACGCTCGCACCATGGTGGGCCTGGACCTCACGCCGCAATCGATACCGGCGGAGGCGATGAAGCTACGACACCTTAGAGATCTCGACGAGCGAGAAGTCGTATACAAGAATGCGAAGCCTCGCATTTTGATCGGGACGGACAACTGGGAGCTCATAGTGACCCGCGAACTACGGTCAGGAAAAACCAAGGAACCAGCTGCCTCCAAAACCGAACTCGGATGGGTAATCCACGGGACGGCGCCATCGAGATCGCTTCGCCGCACCGAGGATATCCTACATGTCGTCACGACCGAAGCATCAGACGACCGACTAGAAGAACTCGTGTCGAGACACTTCCGGATCGACTCACTCGGAGTGTCGCTAGACGCATCACACGTCCGCGAAGAGGACAAGCGTGCCGTCTCCACGTTCGAACGCACCGTGAAGCACAAGGACGGCAGATACGAAGTGGGCCTGCCTTGGCGAAACGACGACGCCAAACTGCCACGGAGTTACGACTCAGCACTCCGCCGGCTCACAAATCTGGAGAACAAGTTGAGAAAAGATCCACGCGACAGGGAAGAATACCAGCGGAGGATCGACAACCTCGTAGAAAAAGGATACGCCGAACCCTGCGACGGCTCCGAGGACGCAAGCCCCGTCGCATGGTACCTGCCGCATTTCGCCGTCAAGAATCCAAATAAGCCCGGGAAGTTGCGACTGGTTTTCGACGCAGCAGCAAGAATTCGAGGTGTCAGCCTGAACGATCACCTACTCGAAGGGCCGGATCTGCTACGATCGCTGCAGACCATTTTATTCCGGTTCCGAGAGGGCGCATACGCGGTGACAGCTGACATCGAGGAAATGTTCCTGCGAATCAAGATACGCCGCGAGGACCAACCCGCACAGATGTTCCTGTGGCGCGACTGCAGGCAGAATGAACCACCGCGCAAGCTGAAGATGACATCGATGATCTTCGGCGCATCGAGCTCACCGTTCCTAGCACACAGCGTGAGGGACCACAACGCGAGACAGCATGCTGAGACGCACCCTGCAGCACTGCGCGCAATCACCGAAGCGCACTACATGGATGACTTCGTCGACAGCTTCAATGATCCGAGAGAGGCCCACGAAGTCATCACCCAAGTCGACGCAGTGCACCAGAAGGCTGGATTCTACCTGAGGGGATGGAACAGCAACAACAGGAAGCTACTACAAGCCGTGAACCCGGATAGTAGAGCCAAAAGCGGGACTACGACGTTTGGAGACGCAGAGAAGACATTGGGCCTGCTTTGGGATGCGAGTACCGATCGGCTGGGCTTCAATACCGCCCTGCCTAGAGTCCCACTGCCAGTGAAGTCTCGACAACGCCCGCCGACGAAAAGAGAAGCATTATCGACGGTGATGAGCATATACGATCCGCTCGGACTGCTCAGCTGCTTCACAATCACAGCGAAGATAACTCTTCAAAAACTATGGCGCCTCAAGACCGGCTGGGACGACCCTCTACCATCCGACTTGAGCGAGGACTTCGATGCATGGTTGGCAAGCCTGCCAGCAATCGACCAACTACGGCTACCCCGTAGTTACAACGGGGGGAGAGAAGTGCGTCGCCGTGAACTTCATATATTCTGCGACGCCAGCGAAGAGGCCTACGCAACGGCGGCGTATTGGAGATTGCATTACGGAACCGGCCATGTCATCGAGACAGTCCTGATAGCGGCAAGAGCTAAGGTTGCGCCCTTGAAGACCCAAACCGTACCGCGCCTGGAGCTTCAAGCGGCCCTCATCGGAACGCGACTAGCGAAGGCAATCAAAGAAGAACACCGTGTCAACGTCGACGACACCGTGTACTGGAGCGACTCTCAGACGGTGCTTCATTGGCTGCGGAATGGAAGCAAGCGCTACACACCATTCGTCGCACACCGTCTGGGAGAAATAATTGAGTCATCCAGACCGCAAGACTGGCGATGGATACCGACGCATCTGAACGTAGCCGACGTTGCCACACGCGCCGGATATACGCCAGCCAACGAAAACGACCTGTGGTTCACGGGACCATCCTTCTTGAAATTACCAAGATCGGAATGGCCGAAGCCACCAACGGATCGAGAAGATGACGAAACGACGGAAATAACACACGTCATCGCGCACACAACAGAGAGAAACGCTGGCTACGAGAGTACCTACCGACCCTCGTACCACGCCGCGACTCACAACGTCCACGAAGCAGCGAAGTACGGACCGGAGACGTGGTTATCATAGCCGACCACACTCTGCCTCGAAACACGTGGCCACGCGGCATCGTAGCCAATACCCACCCTGGACCTGACGGCGTGATTCGGAACGTGGAGATAACGACAAGAGGAGGAACATTTCGGCGGCCGACATCGAAGCTGATCGTCGTCGAACCTGCACTCTCCACGGAACGATGAGAGAGGACGCGCTGCGCGACGGGCACGGGGCTGCCAACCGGAGGAGGCTGCGGAGATCCTTCGCCGGGGGGAGACTGTTGACGACAGCCACGTGCCGAAAAATGTACAGATCGAACGACCAATCACAGCGCCTACATTAGCTGAATTATCAGGGAGCCCATTGGCTGCGTAGGCGCCGTCCGCACGGTGGGGGCGATTCCCCCACCCGGCGCGCGGGTGTAAAACGCGCTGTGATTGGTCGGCCGCCGCGCGTCACTAGTAGCTAAGTTAGATGTTAAGTTTAGAATAAGGGTAGGGCCAAATTTGTAAATATTCGTAGTCAAGTCAAGTCAGTCAAGCAGTATAGTCAAGCAGTAATAAGTAGCCAGTAAGAAGAAAATACAATAAATCGTCTATAGAAGAAATCCGTCTTTGTTTTGCACCATCATCAACAGTTATACAGCATCGTCTACAGTTTGGTCCATAGAGCCGGATCAGCACCCTTAATACGTTTGGTGACTTAAATAAGGTTAATTTTAGATGTTTTATAAGTAAATTAAATCATTAATGTACGTAAGTATTTTATATTGCGGGAATTGAATTCGAGGGTATAGGATACTAATTCCAAAACGTTATTTTTGTTATTTGTGTTTGTATTTACAGGTGGGTCTTTGTGCCCTTTTAAAATGAGCATTCTCCCTTCGACACAAAACAGATATATATATAAAAAAAAAAAATTAAATTATACTCACCCCTGGTGGAATCCGAAATAGGCTTTCATCCTCCAAATATTCATAATGGTGCATTATACCCGGAGCTTTTAAGCCAAGCACAAAAATTATCATACAAGAGACATAACGTCCTATGAATAACGCCATCTCTAAACGATCTTGAAGACTGCAAAGCAAGTACGCTTTATGAATATATAATTCTTATATATCTCCAAAAGTTTATATACATATATAATATATTTTCGTAATACATAATACATACTTATTACATTCTATGACAAAGAATAAAAGGGGGTATTATCATAGATCCCGTCGTCGGGCATGGGACAGTTTTAAAGGTCTTCGGGACCTTTAGTGCAAAATGTCATCGAGTGTGAATCGAATTGATATCAAACTCTCATTCTAGATATTATTTACTACTTGCCAAATCTATTATTTACTTTCAGGAATTGTTAAATGATAGAAAAAATCCAATACAACGGTTCGCTGTATGTTATGGTAAGGTACTATTTCAATTTGCGCTATGATTTGTCGTGTCAAGGCACTAAAATCTTATAACCTTAATCATTAGTGTAAATTTTTGTACTCACTTTTTCAATCTCCACCACCACCCATCTTTATTGAGATTCAGGAATGACAGATTCTCCGAAACGAAGATCAGTGCCCAAAAAACAAGGAGTACAAAGCCATGTCCTCTGGGCGGCAAGGATGGCAACAGAAATCGCCTTTCTATAACCGCCAGGTATGCTGACAGAGGAAAAGCTATTAGAGTCACCACTAACGCCAAAATCTGTGAAGAAAATATTTAAACTACTAGGTATTATAATCACACCATACAATATGGCACATAAAAAAAATAAAGGGTCTCGAGGAACGTGGTAAAGAAACGGTCTGCGATGCAAAGGATAGGATAGCTTTCACACCGATATCGATCAGCCAGTCAGCGATGGTTGAGCAAAAATATATTGTATTGAACTCTACCTTACTTTAAGCTATAGCGGACCAAATTTTACAATCGGCTAAGGCACGTTAAGCCGTTAGTGCGAGCTGCATTAGCATTCGGTTATACCCACTGATTAACGTGCGATTCATATTCTTTTATAGTTAGGGTAAAGTCTCCTAATATCAGCCACCAAATAATATCGGCCGTTTCGAGAAAATGTAACATAATTATAAAAATAGTTTTAATTAATTGTTTTTACACAAAAAGTAGCTCTATATCCTTGCGAATATTCTCCCATATTTTGGTGTGGGTTTGAACGTTATATAGCGCGGGCACGTCGTTTGGCGGCATTACCAAGTCAAATCCATGAGTCGACGCACAGCGTTGGAGTATTGGAATAGTTTTTAATATATTTGAGTTACTTTACTTTATTTGTTTTTGAAGAAAAAGATTTAAAGTACCGTTTAGACAGCCTATATTTACGTTTTTTTGTCTTTTTTTATAAAATAATCGAGGAGCAGAGAATAGGGATCTGTATTATTAGTAAATCTCAATATCGGCCGAGTGGTGATATTGGGGAAATGCATTAAATTCTATTGGCGGCCACCTAAAATCTATTTTTTATCAGCTACGGCCGATAATTTAGGAATCGATGTGTATTAACGACCACCTCAATATTGTATACCTTCTTTCCCCGTAATTAATATTGATATTGCATTGGACTTTTGACTTTTCTCTACCGGCATCACTATTAACCGAAAAAAAAATATTTCCCAGTTTACAGTCGTCCAGAATCTAAGACCACTTCTGGGTATGGTGTAGCGAGACACCATGAGCCACAAGCCACCACAAGCTTTCAAAAAAGATTTATATGCTTGTTGCATTAGATTTTGGCACCAAAACCAAGCCTACGAAAGAAAAAAAGAACGTTAACGAACTTATACCCGTTCGCAATGGAGTACCTATGTCTAATGAATGTTTTAAGCATTTTTCTTAGAGATTGATTAATATTGCATTGTTAAATATAATATATTGAATTTAAAGTTCTCGAAAAAACACACTAATAATTTTGCGGATGTAATAATGGAATTTCACTATCCCATTACTCAAAAAAGGCATTAAAAGAAAGCTAAAGCTATTAATATAAAAATTACAAGCAGTCGAAGATCAAAAAAGTTGACATGGCTGATAATTGGTGCCTCCACCCTACTACATGTTTTGTGAATAGTAATGTGCTCAAGTATGAATTTTGCCTATTCTTATCATCATCAATGACACAAATAGAATTGAATGGGCCCACTGTTGATTTGTCGGTATAAACGACTGTCAGATGCAGCCGAGACCAACGTCTTAACGTGCCTTCCGAAGCACAGACGAGTTCGAAATAATAAATTTTTAGTCATTCTATAAGGGGGCATCCATAAATTACGTGAGATGTTTAAGGGGGGGAGGGGGTCGAGGCAAATCTCATCTAATCTTACGTTGGAGAGAGGGGGGGGTATCGGCAAATATCACGCAATTTTTTTTCTGATTGAAACAAAAAAAAATACTATTTTGGTCCATTTAATCTAGATTGTACATGCTTAAGATTTAATCTTAAGCGTAATCGTATACGAATTAGATCATTCACTAATTCGTTCGAAAGAAAATAATTTCATTCATATTTCGACGCTATACATCGACTGAATGTCAAACCACCATATTTGTAGGGCTCGAACGATACTTTCGATACCGAGTAGGTATCGATACTTTCAAAAGCGATACTCGATACTGAGTACTCGATACTACAACAAGGCAAATACTCGCAAGTACTCATCAAATTGCATTTTGAAAAATCTCACGTGAGATTGGGGGGTGGGGGAGGGGGTTGAATAAAATCTCACGACATCTCACCAGAGGGGGAGGGAGGGACAGAAAATTTAAAAAACACCTCACATAATTTATGGACGCCCCCTAACCGGACCTTGTAAGTGTTGCTTCAATTCCGCATCTCAGACCGAATGCGCTAACCACAGAGTCATCGAGCTCTAATTTGTTTTAAATATCTTTATTTATCTAAGTTTATATATTATAAGTGGGGGTATTTTCGGCCGTAAAAATAAATAAATAAATAATCACTTGCATGATCTATGCCTATAAAAAGTAATAAAGTCGTGATAAAAAATATCTAGCCAAGATACGGAGAGCGTATTAAAATAAATTAGTATTTGATCTAATCAACAACATCGATTAGGGGAGTTGAGGTCTTGTTTGAAATTGTTATCTGTAGATCATATCCAAAAGTAATAAAAAATCATTGTAAACTCTGCAGTGAATGATTAAGTATCCATAATGAGTTTTACATAAGTTCGATAATGTATAAATTAATATATATTACAGGAATCAGAAAACCCGTGCATTATAAAGTTGTAGAAACCGGGTACGCCACTGCTGCGTCATTAATTTAAACGAAGTTTATAAGCTACCTTTATAAGTTTAGAACTATGAAGGCCATTGATAGTTTACTTACCATATAACCATATATTTGTCCTCCTTTAAAAACAAACGCTTGTAATATGAACCTTATCACTGCTAGGATAGGTACGAATAGCGTGAATACTATTTGAACGCCGAATAAAGCGGACGGTCTTACATCGGTAACTTCGACAGCATGTCTGAAATATGTACAGATAATAGTCAGAATTATTACTATTGACTCCTATTTATCTATGCACTATGTGGCTCTTACGGTCAGTTATACAAACGTCCATTAAGGTTTATTGACAACTTTAAGCTCTAATTAATGTTTTTAATTTGAAAATTTTGTATGGGTAATGTGGCATACAATTAATGAATTTCTAGTGGATGTTTGTGCAACTGGCTGTTTTCTAAATATACTATTTTAGTTATGAAATAGAGGTATTTCATAACTAAATAATATAAATAGTATATTTAGAAAACATGATACAGTTAAACATATTTATTGGCGGGGGTGAATAGAGATACTATATAGAGATTTGTCAAAATTCTTAAGGGATAAACATAAGAGACAACATCACATACATTGCTCAGATGAGTAGCTAGAACCGACGTGTTATAAAGTTTATTTACAACAAAGGAACCACAACATCCAGAGCCGAGACGTTATAGAAAAGTTCAGTTTCTACATAAACCCAACCGACGACCGAAAGACATTGAAACCTAAATTCAAACCACTTGGCTATGGAGTTCGCACTATGTCTCTGTCATAAATTTTTCTGTAGTCAGGTACATAACATACCACATAACATTCAGATTGATTTCATTTCAGTGTTGTACCTGTACCCCTTGTTTATGTTACTAATTTATAAGATTACCTAACTAATGACTTATATATTTTTGTAAAAATCAAATTTAATTTTCTTCCCGGTCCCTCGAAGTATCGAGGGCTTATTAGTATACCTATGGTACTTTTTTGTCGGTTACGTAATACTCCGATTTCTATATATAACAAAGATCTTACTAAATAGATAGATAGATAGACAAACGCTTTATTGCTCACACACAAATGAAAAATTTACATATACACGTTCTTGAGTTTTTCGTAAAGTATGTATCCACGTATTTCTTGCAAATCAATCATATGATAACAAAGACTATTTTTTGTTTCATTAGTTAGGTAGCTTACATATGTATAACTTAGGTAACAATACGAGTTTCATCAAAATCGGTTTAGTTAACAAGCGTTTCTAAATCTCGGATCACGACCCCAATTGAGTCGCGGTTGATATTAGAATAGATCAGATAATTTTTTAAAACGCGTATAAAACTTCGGTAAATTTTAATTAGGTAATTCTATTTTTTATTAACACTAGGGTCCCAGGTTTCTATTCAAATTTATATTATATAAAAAGGTTAAACAGTTCTACAATTCGAAATTAGATAGATCGTGCGATCATTCGCACGATCTATCTATTGCGTACAACACAAGAGGCGTTCTTCATGTCATGTAACCGCAGTAAATAAATAAACTGATAACAGATGGATAGATAATTAAGTTGGTGAGCATTATCAACTGTTATGAATTCAACATAAGATAAATTAATACATGACTTTAGCCTACTAACAAGAATGACTCTAATACATACAAGAAGAAATGATCACTATTGATGTACTATATATGACTGATCGATAATATTGCTCCACGTCATAATGTTATCTGGCTTCTGCGTGACTAAATTTATCTATACACCTATTGTTATTATTAGTATCCAAGGAAAGGGTAATATTAATTTATGATCTTCAGCCCTGTTACGTCCCCACTGCAGGTGCTCAGGCTTTCCTAATGGATGGTTGAAGAGGATATAACCCATAACCCTTCATGCTGACCCAATGCAGATTGGAGAGTATTATAAAGAGTAATTCAAGTAGTTAAGAGTATTTTGAGATAATAATTGTTATGTATGAATTTGAAGACATTTTTGGAAGTTCCTTCTTTTTTTACCCATATTATAATTATGATAATTTGAGCACCCCCTGATACTGGCGCTCGAGGCAAACTTAGATCCAACTCTTATAATGAAACTGCATACACAATCGAGTCCGGACTAAATGAGCAAAGACGACTATTTCGCGTTTCGATGTGTCGCTAAAGGATGCAATGTAATACAGGCATATGAGGAGATTTATTCCAATTCAATTCAGCATGTCCTGGTAGACGCTAGGCGTAAAATTGATGGGTCAGTTAAACAAAAACTGTTCCGGGTATATAGCTCCTTTTTTGTTAAATCTATGTTGTAATGCATCTTTGAGTTGGTTTTAAAAACTTGTTGGTTGATTTTAAAAACTGAAATGTTGAGTACCAATATGTTAATGAAAAAAAAACTTGTCACTGGTGTACCTATGCAGAAACCTTAATTTTAAAATATGGCAAAAAAATTAAACTTTCAATTGTCAAAAAGTAGGAATTAACAATTTAATTTAAATCATTAATTTGACAAATGTTATGTTTAAATTTCAATGGATTTAGGACCAACAATAGAATTATAATTAACTGTTTTTTTTTTTTTGTTTAAATAAAATGTATTTAGAAGAACTTGCACCCACAACAGTGTGAAAATTAACCATACCAGTTCATTTATCTTAATACTTCTTCTTAACATTTTGACAGGATTTTTTAAGCACAGTAATGTACTCTGTACCACTTTCTAAATTAATCTAAATTGAAAATTTTCAAACTTCAAATTAGGTTCATTTACACATTACTCCATAGTCACAAATAAAGTAATATTATCTATCTTCCTGTATACACTATAGTATAATAAATTTATTTAATAATTTTCACAATTGAAGCTGACTTTATCCGGACTAAAACTAGTTTTAGTTCAAATTCTATCATATTTTTTTCCCCATTCATATATATACCATTCACATAATACACAAGAAAATATAGCATGTTACTTAAGATAATATTTCCCAGTAAAATTTTAAACATTGAATTCCACAAATATATTCATTCATATTCACAGATGGAGTCAAACTTTTGTATATTTTGTAAGTATTTACTGTTAATAGACGATGAGTCTTTCAGATTAACAACAATAACATCATATCATACCTCACATGCAGCACAATTTGTATGGTCCCAAAAATGAGTAGAAATCCTCCAATAATAACAGATGATACTGTCTCCATGAAACATTGTGATATACCATGATCAATCCACACTTCTGCTAGTGTCACATTTGGTGGGCAATAACCCATCATCTCTAGAAATAAAAATTAATTAAAAATATGATGACATAATTTGATTTTTTTATTTTATTTTATTCCAACAGCATAATGCTTTTATTACAGATGAATACTTTCGTTTTCATTTTTTCTTTGAACTGGAACTAGGAGAAATATCAGTTACAGTAACACCAAAGAAAATAAACAACATTTCCCTTATAACAAATCTGAATTAAAATGGAAATTTGTTTATGATGGCAGTCTTCTGTTAAAAACACAGAGTATATCATAAAAGGAGTAATATTTAATAAACTTAGACTATAACCATGTAAATCTTTGTTTCACTTGTTTAGGTATTAATATAACCAAAGACTTCTAAGTTATTTAACTCAAAATTTCTATTGCATATCAGAAAGATCAATGAGTAAAAGAAAATACATATTCCACCTTACATACATATTATTAAATGGTAAAAATCAATACCCAAATACTTACAACTTAATTTTTTTATCGAGAATATATAGACAATATTAAATATATCATTTAATAAATCAGGTTTGGCACAATGTTTTTTCACTTTATATGCACAGCGAAAATTATATCATTAAATAAATCGAAACTACGCATTTTCCTTAATCTCGAAACAGTGATGGTTACGACAAAAATTGATTTTATGAAGTATTACGACAAAATTGATTTTATGAACTGAGGAAGTAAAATCGTAACATTTGATTACCCTTAAATAACGATTGTGTTAGTTACTTAATTTACTTACTAGGTAGTTATTAGCCGCACGTGGATAGAAACTTTATATTACTCTATCCTTGATTTTATTATAAAGACCGGCTTGCTGGCGTCAGTCTTCAAGCTCAAAATTCCAATATCATTGCAAAATAAATTTCCACCAACCAAAGATGAAGTTTTTTGACTAAAATGACATCTTTCAACAATCTGTCATGTCAGATTGACATTATTGGTGATGTCAACTTAAAACTCCAATTAACTCATGTGAGTGTCTCAAGTCCTTCTTAAGATTGTGCAATAAATATCGATATATGAAAATATCGTTTTTTTTTTAAATTTATGTATAAATAAGCGATATGTTTTCCCGGGAAATATGGGCTTTCGATATTTATTTTTAGATATCAAATCCTTATCAAAATCGATATATTTTTTGTTTCTGCTGTCTGTTCATGAGTCACCTCATGTATTTCTTAAATTTAGAAAAAGTGTAGGTAGGCAGTAGGCTGTTTGAGTTTAGTTTTTGGCTTCAAACACTAACAAAACTTACAGTCTATGACCTGTTTATCTTTTTTTTCTATGACGAATAAAAAAAAACTGCTAGTATGATTTGGTTGGTGTCACTGAGAATGCTCCTGATGTCAATATCAGACAAATACTGGATTGTTTGAATAATGTTATAGTTGTTGTGTTAATTATATTGTTTTCTTGGCTTTATGTGCCTATTATGAATAATAAAACTGATGTCAAAACAGCCAGGTGTGTATTTGCTTTAAAATTTCAAATATTTTGACATTTTAATAGATAATCGCTTTTTGCGTTGAAAATATCAATATATCAATATTTTTTAGTCAATATTTACAGATAAATTTGAAAAATAAAAATACGATATATCGATATTTGTTTCCATTTGCCCATCCCTAGTCCTCCTATATCAAATCAAATAGGGTATTTGACACTTTTCTGTAAACGATTTTAAATCGTTGTTTGCTACATTATAAACACAGTGTCATAATATTTCATTGGAATCTTTTCTATTTTTGGTGAAAATAATTGTTAAAATTTAAATACCCAAAACCGCGCGAAAAACGTTGCTCTATGTAATGGCGCTGATCGTGACGTCACAGGCCAGTAAATATGTCAAATCGACAAGTAACAACTATCTTTATAGTAGGGATGATCGATATTAGAAAAACATCGATGTTAACATCGGTGTCATCATTGTACGCCCAATATCGATGTGCGATATTTATCGAAAATTGAATTGAACATCGATGTTGGAAAACAACGATGTTCAATTTTGTTTTTTTATAAAGAAATAAAATACAGTGAATCTTTCGAAATTTACTAGGAAACCGAACAAATCATTACATATTCCAATATTTTATATCAACTGATTGAAGGAAAAATAATTTTGATAAGGAAGAACTTTTAATCTATTTCTTTATTGATAGAGTCAAACAAACTTACTTTTCTAAACATGTATGTAAAATATGTATTTTAAGATGTGTATATGTTACATACACAAAATTTCGATATTTTATTTTGTAATATCGACAAATTTATATTAATATTATCAAATATTAAATAATGCATTGGTCTTGCGTGAGGCCGTGAGTTAACATTGATGATTAATTTGTTAACATCGATGTTAAGACATTGATTTTTTTTTTCTTTCAACATCGTTGGTTATCCAAAATCGATTATCTCTATTTTGAAATATGAAATAAAAAAGAGTTTAGTTGGAATTTCACGAAAGAAGTCCCACCGAATAACTCTTATTCCTTTATTAAAGCGAAAACATTGTGATCCGACGGGCTTCTTTCGTGAGACGAACTTTAGTTTGTTAAGCATAAGTTATCTATCACTCATACATGCAAAGCTACCCGACACCAAAAACAAATCTTCTTAAACCTTTATACCTTAAATGCAAAACAAAATCAGCAAGCAGTTAGTATCGTAATCTTCTTAAAGGCAACTTATTAATTTTTGTTCTCAAAATAACCTATAAAATCGTAGTAGTCATTGAAGTACGTTATCGGTTAATTATAGGAGCACTGAAGTCGACAGATTTATCTTTAACTTCTTTCGAAAATGCAAGCAAAGAAAAACTATTTGTTTGGTTACTCCAGTCACGAATGCAACCGGTGAAATCTAGTGAAAAATTGTTGAACTTGACATACGAGATCATCTAGCTAGTACATCTAGAGCACGTAGATGATCCTAAGGATATATTGATATTTTATTCATAAATATTGATGTTTAGCTAGAAAACATCCATGTGCCGATGTTATCGAAGTTAAAACATCGATGTTTTCTAGCTGAATATCGATCATCCCTACTTTATAGAAAAATTGAAATAATAATTTAGAAGAGAAATTAAAGTCGTAGTGCGTATTTTTTTCGTTTTTATTTTCCTCTACTTTTCTTTTTTTTTCTATATCATAAACATTTTACGAATCATTTATATTTTCTGACAGGGCTCGCATTTTACAGTCAGTCGACCTACAGATGGATGAGACATTAGCACGAAAAAGAATGTACTATTTTTTTTATACATGCATGTCGTATGTCTGTCCACTAAATGCATGGCACTTGATAATTAGACATCAGATCCCGATGATATTTTTTATTAGTTTTTAACTTGGAGAACAGTATATATCATAAAAATCCACTTTGTAATTTTGAATTATTTACAAGGCGTTTTTCCTATTTGTGGGATTTTTTAAAAATCTAAGTAAATGATTCTTTCATTCTGTATTTCTTTTTGGCAGTTCTTATCGGCAAAGTATTCTATTATGAGTTAATTACTATTAAGTACTCGATACCTACAGACATCGATATTTTATGTATGTTTCTATCACTACTTTGACATGACAGCGGATGACGTCACAGGCCAGTAAACAGAATCGTGATTGGTTGTGACGACGACAAATTATAGGACGTTTTCGTCGTTGAATAAATTCCTAAAAATATTGCATTTTCTATACGTTATTTTAATAAATCTAAACATGTTTTTTTCTGCGGATTTATTAGATTATTATCTATCAGGATGACCACAAACTGCAACTTATTTTCGATAGTGTCAAATACCCTATCATTTTACACATGAAAGAAAACCAGAAGGGTTGTCATGGAGAAATCAAGAACGTACTGTAGCGTCATCTAGTTTGATTTCTGGAATAATGTTTTTTTAATACTTCCTCCTTACACTTGCAGTTATCATATATCTATTTGTTTCTTATTATACAGTCCGCATTACCGCCATTCAAACACCATTTTTGAATCTTTGAGATTATTTTAAAGTGTACCTCATGTCCTGTATTTAAAGTTTCATTAAAAAACATTATTATGTTCGAAACAAAAGTAACGATTAATCACATTTGGGTCTGTAGAGTCTGACAAAAAATATTTTTCAGTAAATTTTCATTGTTTTAATAGGCTTCCTATTTTTTAATATTAATATAAAATTATAAAATTCTTAATGAAGAAAATTTTCGAAGTAAAACACTCTCAATGTTATCTATTATTTAACTAAAGACATGTAAAACTATTTTTTGCTTTTTTTAAGTCCTCAGCAGCACCTTGGTCGGAACGCTTGGCTGGGAACTAGTGTGGATGAACAAGTCTCGACGCCCGACCAAGGTCAAGCACGAACTTACCCAAGTCTACTATTCTTTTTCTTCTTTTATTAATGGCTAATCTGCGCATTTCGCACAATTCTGACGATATCAAGTGAATAAATTAATTTTCACATGTAAGATGAAAATGAAACGAATGAAAGATCTTGCGTATCTCCGTTTACTATCGGAGCTCCGACCACTGTATACTGTATGGATGGCACTTTACAGGAATATTGGGGCTGTTTCTATAAAATGTATGTCCACGACCGAAACATAATTTGAATCTATGGTTTAGCTGTGTTTATGTCCCACAATGTCTACTCTATGATCGTCTGTCATCAATGATTTAGAATTAGAGTAGTGTGAGTGGAGTGAGCGAGCAAAATAGTTTAGTATGTGTGTGTAATACCAAGTGACGGACGGGTGGTCAGAAACGCTTTCGATTAGTTGTAAAATGTATTTTTCCTATTAGACCTGCATATCTTCGTTTAAACATTTAGTGAATGGGTGGTACTGTCTATAAATTAATTATCTTTCGGTAATAGCAATGTTATTTCGTGTTTCTATAGTAAAATAGTCTTGACAATGTAAAAAATCAGCATGTGTCACCACTCATCAACAAATTTATAGTCAAGCAGTGAACGGTCGTCATGTGAGGAAGGTTATGACTAGCAGTTGGAAATCACTTAGTTTAGTTGGTGTTTGTGTAGTGGACTAGTGATATTTATTTTTTGCCTGGTGGGAGTGATAAATTCGGTCTCAAAATGGCGGACCTCGAGGCTGTACTGGCAGATGTCAGCTATTTGATGGCAATGGAAAAATCAAAATGCACCCCAGCAGCGAGAGCTAGCAAAAAAATTGTCTTACCGGATCCAAGGTAATATCCTATAGAAAGGTCAATGCCTTTCCAAAAGATTATTGACTATTATTTTGATATTTAACAATTGTTTACAAAATTGACATGGGTACTTGTTAAATATTAGATTAGATAAGTTTAAGTAACAACATTCATGACTGTTTATTTTAAGCTAGTTGACTATTATAGATTCATTTAATTTGATATGACTAAATATCAATCCTGCATAATATTTGGTAATATTAAAATTAAATGACTAATTAAACTTGAATCATGTCTTCATGAAATCTGAATACAATATCATTATTATTTTGTTAATTGTTTTATCAATATAATGTTTTTACTGAAGGCAACAGGGTCAGTTATTTTATTTTGATATGTAGGGCATTCACATTTCTCAGGGGGCAATGATCTCAAGGTCTCATTGGTTAGATACAACTCTGTATAATTGGAAATAATGTTCTCAGCTTTTTTTGCAGTAGTACAGTGGCAATAGGTAATTGATAGATTAGGCAAATAGATTAAATTGCTAAAAATCCATTTGCAATTTAATCTATTTGCCTAAATAAATAAATTTCCAAACATACATCATTTTTTTGTATTTAAATAGAGTTTAAAATTAAGATGTCAAAATTTATCCCAAGTGTTAAAGAAGCACAACTCTGCAACAGTCTTTAATTAATATTCTATAATATAACTTGAGTTACTTTTTTCCTGCAGTGTCAGAAGATATTATTTTGAAAATGTTGACAATACTGCACTAAGTCACTAGCTAAATTCAGATACCAGCAAGTAACAGTCTCCCCAAAAGTTGATTAGCTGTGACTTAGCTATGTTTGATATATATCAACTCAATTATTGTACAAGTATTTTCGAAACATTGCTTTGCATGTCACCATTAAATTGAAATACTGCTGAAACAAATAATCATTGACAGTTTATAATGTTACTAAACCTTGTAGGGTGCAGTGATTAGTGTGTAGACACCAAAATGATCAATTTTTACAAGGGTTGGTAATGGGATGGGTGGCCAAAAATTAAAACTATAGCTCCTCCATGCTTTTGAAGGTAAGTTAAGCATTTTGTCGCATCATTAACACCATTCAAATGGGTCACTGTGTTGGTCATTTGATTCTTATCATGCTGATGAAATAATTAAAAACCAATTTGAATTTTGAACATAAATTTTTCAATTCCATTTTAAATTTTGAGCAGCTAAAAATAGAAGTTACAAAAAAAATGTTGTTTCATGAAAAATGCTTACAATAAGTGCTAAATTCACGATATATCATGATATGTAACTTTTTGATAGCAGATTTGGTTTGATACTTTTGATATTATAAATTCTTTTGATTATCAAAGATGCACATTAATGAAACAAAAATTAAATCTTTAATTGTGATTACCTTAAAAGTAGCCAAACCAAGTTATTGTCTGTTGGATTACAAGTGAGTGTCAGATTAGACAAGGTCTGCCAAAGCTCTTTTTGAATTATTTTAAAAATTGATTTCTCATTACAACAACTGTTGTAATAATTTTACTTTCCGGAGCTGAGAGTTTTATTTCAGTAAGTAGATATGAATTTGTTGAAGTATGACACCAGTAAGCAGCATATTGTGCTACTGCAAGATTATAGAAAGAATAGGAAAGAGAATTGGTAGGATTTTAAACATTGTCGAGGTATTTGGGGATGTCTACATGTAAAGGAATGAACCTTGTGCACAATTATCCTAAAATATATATATATAAAATAAGTATTATATTGGTGTAGACAGTAAATGAAAATAAACACATATTACTTTTTTCTGGTAGTATAATATTCTATTACCAATAATCACACATTTATGCATATTTTATTTATAATATTGTTTAGACTCATTATGAAAAAAAGTGCCATGACAGAAGAAACAATTTTCATGGGAAATTTTGAAAATTAAATATTTTGAGATTTTCAGTTATTATATGAATAATATATTTTTTAAAATATATTTTATGTATATCTATAAAATAAAAATATATAAAAAGGTTTTCAACAGCCCTATTATGACAATATTTATCAATGTATATAATGTAGGTACCAAAACCTGTTAGGTAATCCTGTGTATGGAGTTCTTAGTAAGTACCTAAGTATTTCCAATAAACGCTATTCGAAGTAATCTGAAGAATATCAACATTTGTTTCAATGGTTCTTCGAAGGATAACACATTCTGTATTTGCAGACGTTATGCATTTCTGTGATGATTGCCATTTGAATTTGTGATTAAAAAAGTTTTTAGAAAACTTGTTAAACTATAATTATACCAACTACTATGGATTTTTTTAAACATTTTTAATTCAGAATATTTTCTATTATAATAAATAAAGATATTCCATTCTATTTTTGTTCAATAGCCCTATTCACTAGAGTAACAAAAAGTAGTAACGATATCACAGATTTAGTTGTTGAACCCATTTTCCAATTCACGTCTATGAATAAAGCCGTTTTTAAAGTAGTTCTATCGAAGTATCGTCGAAACGCATTCACCAAATCAATCGTCTCAAAACTTGCGAAAAATCGGACGGTAAGAGCCAATGTGCTAAACAAATGAAATTTTTTTCGATCGGATGCGGATTGACCAAACGTCAAATTACACATTTTAGACGCCATTGAACAAAGGTTCATTATTTGGAATGCTGGCATAGTCAAACATTAGCTTTTTTTTGTTGGATATCTATTTATTCCATTGGATATAAGTGAGTCGCGAGAAGGAACTAAATAGGGTTTAATTTATTTTTAACAGAACTGTCTTAAAACTTAAGAAAAAAATTAAAAATCATATTTATCTTGATGCTACTTAATTATTCAAGAAACTGCTAGATATTGAAATTAAATATTTTGTAGTCAAAAATATTTTTAATGAAAAAATTCTTAAAAATCCATTTTGTCAAAGCCAAACCCATAGATGGGACACAAACCTAAAAGGACTGCGAATCTTTAAAGCGTCTACTTTGTATCTGGCACTCTATGCTAGGACTCGAACCTATGACCTTTCGCAATCCGGGTGGCGTGTATGTTCAAATATGTGACAATAGTATTAAATAGCTGTGTCACTCATATGAATACTTATTTTGATCGCTTGTCTGGCGCCGTTATAATGTCATGATTTAATGCTATTACTTTTTTTCCGGATTTTCCAAATTCAAAAAAGACTTAGAACAATAGCTACCATTAATAACAAAACTGTGTAAGCTGTTTTGGTCTGGAATGTCTCGAAAATCCTGGAATAGTTAGTAAAAATGTTGAGATCGAAACTTTTGGGGAGTCAAGACTCGGATCCCGGTATGGAAACCGTTAATTCTATTCCTGTTCGTCTATAACAAGCCATTCACTTGAGACAGCGAGATTAGAAGCAGTGATAAATTCTAAGATATTTTCCAGAATTAAGAATTATAAATAGTTTTCCATAACTGTTTGCCTGCAGCTATAAACGTCCCCCTGGTTGCAAATATGCAATAAACTTTAGTTGTTTGAAAACATTGCACCTTTGCAGAATCAAAATATCAAACAATGATTCCTACCTATTAATACTATGTGGACTATTTTTGTATTTAGGTTTACACTTGAATACAAAACTAGTTAAAGGTTATCCTTTAACATATAAAAAGAGGTATTGTTTAATATTTATTCAAACTGTTTTAAGTATAAGAGCGCGGTAAATTTATTTTATAGGTAATGGTTTAACTTTAGGGTCGGCGTATATCTGCACACTAAAATTAACTTAGTGAGGAGACTCGCGTGAGTCAGTGATAGCCTAGATTAGGCTATGCATTATGTCTATGGATATGTCATTGTACTGAATAGTTCTTATGTTACTGTTATTTACATGCGGAGTGTAAATATTCTTTTCTGATTGATCTGCTAGCATCATTAACCCGATCTCAGCGTCCACTCCACCCCCACATAAAAAAGAAAATATCGTATAGATTCAATGGGAAACTACTTATATGGAGTTGTTTGTTGTGTGAAACAAGCAAAAAATATAAAACAGGCAAATTCGGAACTCTTTAACTTCGCGAGGCCCGGTAAAATGCATATGGTATTATTTTTATTGCAATCAATTCTTGTAATGTTAACGCAATACTCGCATCTCAATAGAATCTTAACGACTTGCATTTTGCCATTCTACATATTTTTTATATTTTTTATTTCGACTTACAAAACTGATTACAATGAAAAATATAAACATTACAATTTTCACACAAAAGAAACTGGATTGTAACCTTCCAGATGTAAGTACAACATGCATTTTAAAATTAAAAATTTTTTTCAATGAAGTGACTACAGCCGAAACATAAAATAATTTAAATTACGAAATATTAATAAAGTTATCAAGCTTTTCTCAAGAACCAAAAACAGAACTTAAGCTCTGCCTAGCAGAAGCAATAGACCCATTGAATATGTCGAATTATATGATTCATAGCTAGAACACATACGATAAAGCGGTGAATGCTGCAATCTCTTCCTCACACATCAATAGTGACAGATAATAATAATATTGGACTTCAGGTAGATGTACAATGGCAAAAAGTAGTTGAGATTCTGATGAGATGCAATTATTAATTCAATTTTAGCAGAATTGGCCTGCAGATGGTAATCTTATTGAATCTAGCGCTTTTAGATTATTCAAAAATAGTCAATTTTCTAGTGTTCCACAAAATCAGGGCTGCAGACGTCGTAAAACGTCCAAACTTATGTTCGTATAGAAAATCGGTCGTAGTAAACAAAACGATAAAACAACGCTTCGTCCGTCGGTACGGACTCGGCTGCCGTTGTTATGCTTTATTGATGATGACTTATGACTATGGGAATAGGTTACTATATAAGTTTCCTGGTAAGATCAAACTTTCTTTGGATCAGAGGTGCCCTTTTTTATCTCTAAACCCTTGTTGACGATTTTTTAGCAAACACTATTTTGGTAACAAATTATTATAAGTTAGTTTGAATATTTTTCATGTGAGATTTGATAAGAAGCAACTCTATGTTTCTTGTGTAAATGAAAAATAATATTTTAAGCATTGCAAAATCGTAATTCAAACTATTTTAGCTATTGAGTGGTTTCTAGAAATGTATTATTTGACTTGTGAATTGAATGCGGAGCCTATGTGACGCTTCTACGGAGTACTAGGGCTACCTTTAGCACTGAGTTAAGTTAAGAAAAAAATCAGGTTTTTATGAGCTGTGTTTACTGTTGGCTTCAGATGGCCTTTGATCATTGAGACCTCAAAACGAGAAGACGATTGTTCTGGAGGTTATCTACTAGGAAGGCATTACCCCACGAGGAGGTGTCTCCATTCCGTTGTAGACTCGCTCTGGACTATCGGATCTGACGCTGGGAAAAGCAGGTTTCGTATACAGTACAATACGAACGTTCAGGAGACGGGTGAAAACTACAAACAAAAAATCGATGAGAATATGTGACCGAACGCTACCGAGAGACAAGCTCGAGCACGCGAGTTTAATGTCTTTCTTAGTATTTAAATATGTCGCCGTATAAAAAAAAAAAAAGTACACAAGAAAATTTGAAGATTTTTGTAATCATCCAAATGAAAATGTAACCATACCAATAACTATGAATATGGAAACGTGCAAAACAAAAAATAAATATACAATAGTTGAGCATTACTTGGTAAACGTACAAGTGCAATAATATAATATGTTTCATTCATTAAGAATGCCTGTACTATAGTACCACCAATCTCCATTGGGACCTACACCTGAACCCAATGAGGAATTTTGGGTGGATTGGTTACACTCGATCATAATAATATCTGTGCTTTAGCTCCACTAATCCGCATTAAGACCTACACGCGGTCCAATGAGGAATGCTGGGTGGTTTGGTTTCATCCATTAATTAAGAATATCTGTGATTTAAGTCCACCAATCCGCATTAGTACCTAGACGCGGACCCAGTTAGAAATATTGGGTGAATTGATTTTATCCATTCACAATATCCGTGCTTTAGCGCCACCAATCTGCATTGGGAACTACACTTTATTGTAGCACCTACACATGGGCGAAAAAATTGTCACCTTCTTTATTAGTATATTTGCATGATTTATGACGTCAAATAAAAGAGACAAAACGTAAATAGAGACTTGTATACAAATTAATATACCCCAAAGTGAACACATAATTAGTGTTTTCTAATGTTTATATATTAATGCCCATGGACTACATATTTGTTTCCAATATTGTGTAAATATTTATTTGCATATAGAAGAATACAATTTTGTGGGTGTTTATATAAGGACATATATAGTTTTAACTACTTGTACGAGTATCTATATCTTTGACCTTGACTGTACGTCTCTATGTACCTTATATTTATCGAGTCCTTGATATTTTATATCCCATAAAAACCTATCATTCTAATGTAAATGACTATGAAAGTTTAAAGTCAACATATTCTGTACATTACGTCTTTCTTACGGCTAGGATTTCTACTTGGACCTGTATTTTACATGCATTTTCGTGGTAACGGTCAGAGTTTCAAAGTTGGTAGAATGTTTTTGTATGGAAGCGGGTAATCCAACATTTGCGCTACACCTTCGAGATATAAGACATTAATTTGGATGTTGAAACTACAATTTTTAATTTTGATAATACATTATTAGAACTTTGTCCAAGTTATTGTCTGATAGAATCTAATTAATTATTCTTAGAGTGGTGCCCGGCTAATCAAAGCCCATGGGTTGATTTCAATCCTATTTTAATGCGAGAAGATTGAATTTGAAATATTTTCTATAGGGAAAATTTCAAAGGTATAAATCAAATGTTAAGATGTGACAGAACCCTTGTAAAAGTGATGTAGTATTACGTTATTTTTTTTATAGAAAACCGGTTGAAAATTGGTTGACAGTTGCCATGATTTTGTGAAAATTTCAATATAATATACTTATATTATGTATAGTTTATTTTTTATATTAATATTGATTCCGCAAATCTATTTGTTAATTATATGTTTATTTGTTACAGTGTTCGAAGTGTGATGCACAAATATATGGAAAAGAAGAATGAAGTAAATTTTGACAAAATATTCAATCAAGTCTTAGGTGAGTGACAAAAAATTTAATATTCTTAATTAAAAAAGTTTAAAAAATTCACTTTGTACTTGGCACTTCGAGATTGCGAATGCAGAATAGATCAAATATAATTAAAAAAAATATATATGAAGCCCAATTGTTACGCGATTGGACCTTGTTTGTTGGTGGTTGGAACTTGTTTGGAAAATTAAAGAAAAATTGTGGTTTTAACGTGACTTTACTCTTGAGTTGTGGGATAATTTTTAGAAGAAAATTGTGTTCGTTATCTAATATACGTTAGCGCTAAAAATCTGTACCCCACGTCTTGTGCTTTAATTTCCAAAATCATTAAATATTTATATTTTTATTGCGGATTAGGGCAGAGAGAACTAAGTCTGGCGCCTATTATTTAATTAATAACATACAGAAGACCTCTTTCTCGACTTAACTACAATTTCCTTGAATAAGTCGCTTTTGAGATAAGTTTTATTTATAACTTTTTTAAAGTTTGAAGTCTGTTCTATTTAAAAAATAATAATTTTATTTCGCTCATGAAATTATTACAATTTCATAATAAATAACGCAGTTTAACTTGACGCACGTAAATAATTATTTTTTATAATTGTTGAAGTATCATGTTAATAAATAAATAATGTAATACAAATAAATAACACAAATTGATCACCCATCCGATTGCTGACCTTTGCGATCGTCGCTTAACCTCCGCAATCGCAAATCAAACGCATTAAACACTACACCATCGAGCTTTTCACTTGTTGATATAGGTAGGAGGAATATTGCCTTTTTTGTCAAATTAAATATATTTTGATTACATCAACTGAATCGCTCCTGGATTCTATCGAACAGAAAATCGGAAAACAGATCGAAAGCAGATCGGGCGTTCGACCCTCGTACATTTGAAGCGATATCGCAGACCACGAGTACGTATGTACGTACTTTCGCAATTCCATGTCGAGGAGATTTGTGACCAATCTCTCACGAGTAAACACTTGCGATTCTCCATACATCTTATAAGGGCGTGCGATTTGTGCGATTTCGCTCATCGATGTCGCATTGCATCTCATTTAGCCATGAGTAAAGAGCCAAAATCATACAGTTTATCAATGTCCAACTCTAAAATTCACCATTGACCCATTTGTAATATTCTTTTTTATATGGAGAACTGATAAATATGCGTGTCACTTTGTGGCCGAGTGCATTATGCAAAATTTTTACTATAAATATAATAAGTAATTATTAAAAATCCCTAACACTAATTAAAAACCCTCGTTAGTCGGGTAATTCACCATTCTCTAATCTTATGTAATGACAGGGCAACGGCCTTCGGGAATAATATAGATCCCTGTCTATGCCGGGCGCAATAGAATAGACTGCAGTCTTTTGACTTTACGCCCCCTCTTTATGAAACAATCCGGAGCTGGTACAATGAGTGTTCCGTGTCTGTGGTGTATTCATTATTTAAATATCACAAACTTGAATCATCATGTGAGAAACTAGAATAACCGCCGCAACTTGTATGCTTTGACGCAATTTAATGTGATTGTTATATACGTCATTTAATTGCGTGACTTAATTCATCTACTTATTTAAAGTTTTTTGTTCCGACATTTTATTTATAATCACATAAAGTATGTGCTACACATTCGTGACCGTGAATATTTATCTGTATTAATTATTCTTACAGTTCTTGTTTTTTACCGACGTCAAAAAGGAATGTTATAAGTTTCTCTATTACTCAAAGACGAATCTTTTTGGAAAATTCTTCTTTTGTTTGAGAGGGTTATACTTCCTTAGTGGGGTTATGGTCGTCAGGTCAAGATTTAATGATGGAACCTTAGAGAAACCGACGCTCAAGTGTGCCTATTATATAATTAATATTATATAATAATAGGCACTCTTGAAGTGATTTTTTTTGTTGGAAAGGATTTGTTTTGTAGAAAAGTTTTACAGAGGCGAAAATCAGATAAATATTTTTAGGCTTGTAGACCAACATTTTTCAACTTACATTAGAACCTCTAATATGAACGATTTTTTAATTGCCGTTTATGACAGGGGTCCTGGGATACCTTAAGTCTTTGTAACACTTCTTTTATACTCGTATTAAGCTAGCTGTGCCCCGACTTCGTCCGCATGGAATAGTGACTTTCGGTAGCATCTTTATTTTTTATTCAAAGGGTAAAACGACAATTCCAATACTAAAACTTGGCAGTCTATCTGTCACCAGGCTGTATCACATGAGCCGTGATAATTAGAATTTATTTTTTTCAAAGATGATGTAAATCTGTTGCCGCTGCAACAACAATATAATAAAATAAACATCTAAGGAGTCTCCCTTACAACAAACGTGATTTTTTGCTGTTGTCTAACTAGACAGTTGAGATTTTCACAGGATATATTTCTTTCTGTTGCTATAGTTCTGTAAATAATTAAAATGACAAATCGAATTGTAAACAACGGTTAGGTACTATGGTAACGACTTAATGTCCTATACGAACTTTATAACCCATTTTTATCTCTTTATGTGCATTTTTTCGGGATAAGATTTAAGATAGATATAAGGTGCCGCGGACTTTTCTTTTTACTTTTAAGGAGGATCAATTTCGTAATACATGATTTTTGCGTTTACCGTTTATGCAGCGCGCGAATGGAAAGCTTTAAAAAAGTAAAAAATTATTGCTGCTCCATTCTAATAAGTCATAGCGTGATATATAGCCTTCTTCGATAAGTGGACTATTCAACACAAAGACAACAATTCAATTCGTTCCAGTATTCCCTAAGATTTAAGGGTTTAATACGAATTAAATAATTTAATAAGTCAACGTGATGTATTTTTTTGAATTATTAGTACATATTTTGGTACATTAAGATGTTTTTTTTTTTTTTTACTTTTTAAAGGGAACTTAGGTTTTTGTGTCGACGGGGGCGATGCATTTTTATATTTAAAATTATATTTTCATGAAATAAGTTACTTGTATTTTTTATCAAAATCACCCACGCAATCTTTGCTAATGCTGTGGTAGCTGAAGTATGCTTAAATCAGCTATACTCCATTCATTACAGCATTAGACAGAATGAAAATAAGGTTCTTTTTATGGTATACTTTGTGACAAAATGTCAACAATCATGTAACTCTTAAGACTAACGGCTAATTTGCTACATATCCACTTACTTTCCGGTGCAGGCTCGAGTGGCCTACATAAATTACACTCTAAGCCCCCATGCCTACCCTCAACCATTGACATTTCAGGAAGTTTTTTCCAATGTCTTCATCAATAGCCTAACTAATTACACTTACAATTAGAATTTATCAAAACAACAGATAGATAGTTTCAGTTTTAGTTCCATTTTGGCTTGGGAGTAAAAGATGAATTTATAAAATGCTGGCCTCATCATTTTATACTTCCTCTCAGGTATTGAATTTAATTCCCGCAAAAAAGTTATTCAAATTCTGGAAAAAAATGTCCATATCCGCAAGATATAGTGAGCGTCGGATGACAGAACTTGTAGAACTTGTTCTTGTAGCTTGGAAACTATCTGCCGTAGTTTGCAATATGAAGTCGCATGTTGCCATACCGGAGCAATGTGAGATCTTTTAAATCATTGTGTTCAGTTCTTCACAGTATACATCTGCACTAAAACTCATCCCGTTTGGTAAGAAGCTGTGATGGATTACACTGGCGTTAGTTCAACAAACAGCGGCCATCACTTTTCTTTTAGCTTCTAAATTAGGACTCTACTAACTTGCTGATGCCAGCAAATGTCGAAAGGAATGCGTTTTTGTTCAGAGGCAGGTTTCGTAATAATATTTATATATTTTATAAATATTATTATAAAATATATAAATATTTATTTAAATTTATATTTTATCAATATAATATTTTTTTTGATAATTATCCGATTAATATCTGATAATTATCTATAGTTAGTGGTTACAATTTTTAAAATACACAATGCATCCAGTTAACTAATTTTAAATGTTTTAAATATATATAAACAATTAAATTGTCAAATCACATTGAACAAAAAGTGAAATGAAAATATAATTTAATTTACAAAAAACTAATATTTTTTTATATCAAAAAGAGTTCATAATATTTTTTGTGGATAATTTTTTCTATCAGAAAAACCATAATATTTATAATTGTTTAAAAATGAATCCCCTTTAATTATAAGTCCTAAAGTACAAAAATAATTTGTGTAGTGTTTTATAATTATCAAGATATATTTATCAATATCAATGATAATTATCACTCCGAACCCAATATTGCAATATTATTTTCAATCTTTTCAGTAGTATAATAAGATCAAAGACAAAAATCATGTTCTTCGTCAGCTGAGCAAAATCTCATTATCCTTAGTAGAAGAGATGCATCGGTTTTACGAAGCTTTACCTCGTTTCTAAAGAACGTCCCGTCTCTGTTATCGATTCTCTAAAGAAGCAACGTATAAACATGGGAGCTCTTTGACGTTCTTTTTATTTGAACCGAATTGCATTTAGCCTTTTACAGACGAGAGCGAAGTAGCGGGCATACTCTTTTATTAGCTTGCTCAGTACGTACTTACGTTTCGGTGGATCTACTATTTCGTCAACTTTACTGTTTAATGGGTTATTTAGAATGTTGATTTCATTTCGTTTCTGTGTTAATCAAACAGGACGTAACCGAAATATCTTGATTAGCGTTAGGTCGAAAATACAATATCAATTTGTAATATTTTAATTTGAATATCAAGTCATTTTTTTAAATCATAAGGTTTCTGAATAGTAACCACGTTTAAATTTTCTTGACTTCATTTTAAAGTCTAAACTCTACTAATTTTCCGTCCTTATTTTTATACTTGGGACAGTCACATATTTCAAATGAATACCATTGGAGTTGTAACCGCATAATGGCCATTACGATCAATAAAAATACCGAGCTACTTCTTTCCAATGATAGTGTATTGATCTTTTGTTGATTGTGTAGTATCGAAACGATGTATGTATTGCGCGCGGTGCTATTTATACTAGT